TTTTTTTTTTTTTTTTTTTTTTTTGCTATGGGGTCTTTGCTATGTTGCCCAGGCTGGTCTTGAACTGCTGGGCTCAGGGGATTCTCCCACCTCAGCCTCCTCAGTAGCTGGAACTACAGGTGTGCATCACCACAACAGACTCATTTTGTCTTTTCTCCATAAGTGTTAAGTGTGGGACCCAGGGTCTCATGCAGCCTACGTAAGTGTTCTACTGCTGAGCTACATCCCCAGCTCCATTTTGATTTTTAATATACTATGCTAAAATTCTTTTGAATAATGTGGAATATTTTTCTTCAGTTAAAAGAAAAGTTTTCTAGGACTGGGATCTGATGCAGTGGATACTTGCTAAGTATGCACGAAGCCCTTGGTTCCTCCCTAGTAAAATGTTGTAATTATTTCCTACATTCATTTATAGATCTTAAGAATAAGCTGGGAGATTGCACCTGTAATCTCAGCTACTGAAGAGGCAGAGATTGGGAGGATCACAATTCAAGGTCAGCCCAGACAGAATGTTCATGAGAACCTCATTTTAACCAATAAAAAACTGGGCATGGTGGTGCAGACCTGTTATCCCAGCTTTGCAGGAAGCATAAATAGAATCATGGTTAAGCCTACCCAGACATTGAGAGCCTATTCAAAAAATAAAACTAGAGCAAAAAGGGCTGGAATGTGGCTCAAGTGGTAGAGCGCCTGTCTAGCAAATGTGAGGACTGAATTCAAACCCCAGTACTGCCAAAAAAATTCCTGAAGTCTTAAAGGGGTTTCTGTATGTCCAAGTTGAAGTTAATAAAGCTAGAGGCATGGAAAATTTGTCAGTTTAGTGACAAGGCTGTCTTGAATTTAGGAGCTGAATATCTGTCTTAGACAGTAACAAGTGTAGTCCCACAGGAGGTTTGTTGCTAAGTCAAGAAAACTCTCCAAAGTGCTAATGGTGCCCAGCTGTATGTTGTCATTCTTGCCTGCCAGAAAAATTGGTTGGACTTCCATGGAATAATAAGCTGTCAATCATCCTGGGGTCACTGGCAGGATAAGAGGGGACACACAGTTTGTGTTTTTTGTTTTTTTTTTTTTTCAATACAGGGTATCCATATAGCTGAGGCTGCCCTAGAACTCATGATCCTCCTGCCTCAGACTCCCGGGTGCTGGGATTACAGGTGTGTATCACCACACCTGGCTCAAACATTTTTTTTAAAAGCTAGTAATTCCTGAGGACAAGAATATATTATGAATACAGGAATTGCAAACAGAAGGGTTCCTGTATCCATGAATGTGGGTAACTCTGTGTTATTTGATAACATCTGGAAGTTTCTGTCTCTGCATATCCTTTATTAGAAAATTCCTTGTGAGGGCTGACAGAATGGCTCAATGTAGAGTGCCTGCTTAGCATGCATGAGGCCCTGAGTTCAAAACCCCAATTCCATAGAAAAAAATCCCTATGAATTCTTTTATGGCCCTATTACCATCCCTTATGACATCAAAACCCCCTGAATATTTATTACGTATGTATTTAAAATGCCAGGATAAGGTATGAAAGTGGTAAACTGAGTTTTTTGGGTTTTTTTTTTTTAATCTTTGTGGTTCCGGAGTTTGAACTCAGGGCCTTGTGCTTGCTAACGCAGGCACTCTACCTCTTGAGCCACTCTGCCAGCCCTATTTCGTGTTGAATATTTTCAAGATAGGGTCTTGCTTTTTGCCCAGGCTGACCTGGAACTGCGATCCTCCCCACCTCTGCTCCCTTGTAGTCAGGATTACAGGCATGGGCTACCTTGCCCAGCCCACTGAGAGTTCTTAACAATGAATGTCAATTTAGAACTTTTTTTCCAAGAGTCCCTGCAGCTTCTCTCTTCACAAACAAGCAAGGACCCTGAAGCCAATGTCCAGATGGAAGGTTAGTTGTAAAATCCTTGTCACAGTCATTGCTAAGTGTGGCTTTCAGCCTTTCTGGAAGGCTTGCTGCGGGGAAGAGATTGAAGTCCATGTGTAGGTGTGTGTGTAAGAGAGAAAGACAAGGACCCTAACGCATGGACATTTGATGTGACACAATTAAGCCATTCAGATTAGCGCTGGGCCACAATGAGACCAGACTGTGCTCTATAAAAGTAGGGACAGAATTCCAGATGGCGAGCAGGTGAGAGGAGAAATGAGAACAAGCCAGATCAACTGAACAATTCGTCCCTGTCTGTCAGATACCTCAGTTGGGATGGACCAACCCTTGCTGGTCAAATTCAAACTTTTTTAGTGTGCTGGGTGCCAGTGGCTCATGCCTGTAATTCTGGCTACCGAGGAGGCAGAGATCAGCAGGACCACGGTTTGAAAGCCAACACGAGTAAATAGTTTGCGAGACCCTATCTCAAAAAAAAAAAAATGCAAACAAGGACTGGCAGAGTGGCTCAGGCAGCAAGAATGCCTGCCTAGCAAGTGTGAGGCCCTGAGTTCAAATCCCAGTGCCCTAAAAAAAAAAACTGAATTCAAATATCACATTTATCATTTAACCAGAAAATGTGTGCTGTCTGATGAAGCCTTTCCCTAATTATGTTAACTCATGTTTCATATGGTGTCTGGTTTTCAAATGATCTCTGAGGTGTGTTTACATAACTTTGTTCCTTCCTTCCCCTTTCAGCTATGAAATACAAAATTTTTTGAGGTAGGGTTTCATTATGTAGCCCAGACTGACTTTGAACTTCAGTCCTCCTACCCCAGCCTCCTGAGTCTGGGATTATAGGTTTGAACCTATAATCACCCATAGGTGTGAACCCAGCTGCAGGAAATGTAATTTTAACAGCCTTCATTGTAAATAAAATTAGATGGAAGCATCAGGTGAAGAATGAAAGCAAAGTCCCCGTGCCTTTCTCCTTGATGTTGACAGTGATATATCAACTTCTGCCAAGCCACCATGTTACCCTGCAGCTCAGTGTTCTTCACAATCCAAAAAAAAAAAAAAAACCAAAAACTTGTATTTATTTATTTATTTTGGTGATACTGGGATTTGAACTCAGGGTCTCCAGCTTGCTAAGCAAATGTTCTACCACTTGAGCCATTCCACCAGCCCTTCAATTCAAGAAATCCAGTCTAGGCTTCTGACCAAAGTAACATTTTGATATTTCTAGAAGCAAACTGGCCATATTTCCCAGAAGTTCTAAACTTCAGGTAAGAGGCACAGCTGTAGTGGTAGAGCGCCTGCCTAGCAAGTGTGAAACTCTGAGTTCAAACCTCAGTTCCATGAAAAGAGTAACCTAAACTTCTCTGTCTGTTTCAAGAACACACCAACTTGTCCAGTGTGACAACTTCTGCCACGGGTGTAGAAGATCTCAAGATTGTGCAAGTGACAGTTCCAGGTAGGGACGTTTATTTGGTTTATCATAAGTTGTATTACGTTTTTCCTTTGGCCTTAACTATTTAATGACATGGGTAAGTCTCTTGTTGTTTTGTTGTTATTGTTGTTTGTTTCTTTGGCTGGTTTGTTTTTGTTTGGTTTTTTGTTTGGCAGGACTAGGGCTTTAACTCAGGCTTTCACACTTGGTAGGCAGGTGCTCTACAAATCGAGCCACTCCGCCAGCCCTGTTTTATGTTTTAGGTCTCTCGAACTATTTCCCCGCACTGACTTCGAACCACGATCCTCCTGATCGCTGCCTCCTGAGTAGCTGGGATTATAGACATGAGCCACTGGCACCCATCTGTTTGTTTTTCGCTTCGTTCACTTTGACAACTAAAGAATAATAATTCAGGAATATAAAATATGTTGCAGGTTACACCAGGTATCTTGCTGATACCACACATCGTTAATGAGATGTATAGCTTCTCCAGGGCCTGCCTGGATTACTCACTTCAGGACAGGCAGCTTCAAGCCCCAGCTGCCTTTGAATTAGAATTGGCCACAGAGGTGACATTTTATTTGCTGCACTCATTGAATAACCTCCTATTCTAAACATGTCTACTTAGATCTATCTGCAGAGATGCACAAGAATCTAATAGCATAGTTCCTTCAGGGCAGGAAACAGAGCTGAGAGAGTGGGGGAGAGATGCTTCTGTTTGCTGTTTTGTGTCTCTTGAATTTTGACCCATGATTATTTTTGTTACTCAAAATCAAATAGAACAGGATCAAGTAGAATAGAATTTTAAAGTATTTAAAAAGATCCCCTGTAGTCCTAGTACCTTATATTCCTTTTTCTTGTCATATTGCATTGGCAAAGATTTGTATTACAGTGTTGAAGAGTAGTGGTGTTGTACCATGTTGTATCTTCTTTTTTTTCAGTACTAGGGTTTGAACTCAGGGCTTCATGCTTGCTAGGCAGGTGCTCTACCACTTGAGCCATTCCTTTTTTGTGATGGGTTTTTTTCTAGATAGGGTCTCAAACTCTTTGCCCAGGTTTCAAACCGTGATCCTCCTGACCTCTCCCTCTTGAGTAGCTGGGATTACAGGCATGAGCCACTGCCCCCCAGCCCATGTTGCGTCTCACACAACGTCAAAAGCGTTCCTTAAGCGTAGCATGGAACATGGTTATGTACTGTTACCATTCGGAAAATATTCTCTCATCTGTAATGGCTTCCACTCAGAAGTTTCCAGAATGCTTCATTACTGCTGAGAGTAAAGTGAACGATGAGCCAGGTAAATGCCTCTAACATCTTTCTTGGGGAAAAAAATGCTTTCAGAACCTGGTTGTGTTTGTTTTTAGAGACTGAAAAGGAAAGATTATCAAGCATTGAAAAGATTAAACAGCTACGAGAGCAAGTCAATGACCTCTTTAGTAGAAAATTTGGTAAGTTTTTTTTTTATACTTTTTACATATCCAGAATACGTAAATGCTTCTTTTTTGGGGGAGTGGTACTGAGGTTTGAACTCAGGGCTTCACACTTGCTAAGCAGGCACTCTATCACTTGAGCCACTCTTCTAGCCCCTGATTTTAAAATCTTGGCAATAAAGATAAAGCACAAAGGCCTGGTATGGTAGTGCACACTCATAATCTCAGCACTGGGAGGCAGACCAGGAGGATCGTGACTTCGAGGTCTTCCTGAGCTACATAATAAGATCCTATCTTTGGCCAGACACCAGTGGCTCATGCCTGTAATCCTAGCTACTCAGGAGGAAGAGATCCGGAGTATCACGGTTCAAAGCCAGCCATGGCAAATAGTTCTGTGAGACCCTATCTTGAAAAAACCCTTCACAAAATAGGGCTGGAGGAGTAGCTCAAGGTGAAGGCTCTGAGTTCAAACCCCAGTACTGCAAAAAAAAAAAAAAAATACAAATTACAATCTGGGAAAAGTAAGCTGCATACTCAACCAGTTTTATGTCATGTGTCTCGTCCCAGGGGAGGCAATCGGTGTGGACTTCCCCGTGAAAGTTCCCTACAGGAAAATCACCTTCAACCCTGGCTGCGTGGTGATTGATGGCATGCCCCCGGGGGTGGTGTTCAAAGCCCCCGGGTACCTGGAAATCAGCTCCATGAGAAGGATCTTGGATGCTGCAGAGTTCATCAAGTTCACGGTCATTAGGTCAGTAGGGTCCTGGGTTCGGTCACAGTGGACAAGTGGCACCCAAGGAGTTTGTCCCAGGGGCTCCTTGCAGATGACTCCTGGCCACACCACACCTCACCTGTGTTTTGTCACCACTTCTGCAAGGTGCGTTTGTGGTCCCACCCAGTTCCAGCTCCCATAGCACCTAGCACTGCACTGACACTCAGCAAAAGTGCGCCAGTCAAAACTCAAGGGACACAGGGGACAGATGAGCTAAATCACCTTGACCAGTGTCTCTTTCTCTGCAGACCCCTTCCAGGACTGGAGCTCAGCAATGGTAAGTAGTCTGCGTGATGACAACGCCCCAGCACCCATTATGCTGGGGACACATCTGGGGTCCTGGCTTCTGCAGCCTAGAGCCTTGAGACTTTGAGCAAAACTTGTCATCTTTCATATGAACTTTTTTTTTTTGGCATTCGCACATGGGAGGCAAGTTCTCTACCCCTGAGCGCCACCCCTGCCCAGTTGTATGTACTTTATTTTTCCTTGCATGTTATACACTTCTTTAATTCTGTCACCTGTATTTTTTTTTTTCACAGTGCTCAGGATCAAACCCAGGGTCCCACACTTGCTAGGCAAGCCCTCTATCACTCGAGCCACACCCCCACTCCTTTCACTTTCATTTGTTTTTCAGACAGGGTCTCATGCTTTTGCCTGGGCCAGCCTTGCACTGTGACACTCCTACCTCTGCCTCCAAGTAGCTGGGATTACAGGCGTGCACCACCACACCTGGCTTACATTTTTTTAATGAAATTTTTCAGCCAGGCATGGGTGGCTTATGCCTGTAATCCCAGCTACTCAGGAGGAAGAGATCAGGAAGATCAAGGTTTGAAGCCATCCTGGGCAAATAGTTCAGGAGACCCTATCTTGAAAAAAACCCATCACAAAAAAGGGCTGATGGAGTGGCTCAAGATGTACGCCCTGAGTTCAAGCCCCGGTACTGCAAAAAAATTAAATTCTTCTTTTATGATATTGGGATTAAACCCAAGGTCTGGCACTTGCTGGGCAGGTGTTCTACCACTTGAATCATGCCTCCACCCCTTTTGCTCTTTAGGGGTTTTTTTGGTTTTGTTTTTGTTTTCAGATAGACTCTTGTACTTTTGCCTGGACTGGACTCACTGTGATCCTCCTACCTCCACTTCCCAAATAGCTGAGATTACAGGCATGCACAACCACATCCAGCTTGTTTTTGAGATAGAGGCTCACTAAGTTTTTGCCTGGGCTGACCTCAAACTGCAATCCTCCTATCTCTGCCTACCAAGTACCTAGGATTACAGGTGTGATGCCCGGCCCAATCTCTAAATTTTCCTTAGAGATTTGAAGTGCTGGCCCCAGTGCATCGCAGCAGTGTGCTCGAGAGACCAGGAATGGCTTCCTCTTCAGTTAACCCCACCCTGACCCCACTCATTGGTTTTCTTCCTCATGTTTATTTGTGTGTGTGTGTGTGTGTGTGTGTGTGTGTGTGTGTGTGTGTGGTACTGGGGTTTGCGCTCTGGGCCTTCACCTTGAGCCACTCTACCAGCCCTATTTTTGTGATGGGTTTTTTCGAGATAGGGTCTTAAGAACTATTTGCCTGGGCTGGCCTTGAACCGCGATCCTCCTGATCTCTGCCTCCTGAGTAGTTAGGATTATAGGCGTGAGCCACAGGTGCCTGGCTCTGTGATCCTTCTGATCTCTACCCCATGAGTAGCTGGGATTACAGGTGTGAACCACTGGTGTCCAGTGTTCCTCATGTTTGTGATCACAATTCTGCTGTTGCTTTTCTAAGAGTACCATTAAGAGAAAAATGAAATGGTTCGTGGGCGAGGGAGTGGTTAGCGTGGTAGAGCACCCACCTAGCACGTGTGAGGCCCTGAGTTCAAATCCCAAAAACAAGAGCGGAAATGAAATGGTTCTTGTTTCTGTGTCTCATCCGCAGTGGGAAAACGCAAGATAGATCAGGAGGGCCGTGTGTTTCAAGAGAAGTGGGAGCGAGCCTACTTCTTTGTGGAGGTGCAGAACATTCCCACGTGTTTAATCTGCAAGCAGAGCATGTCTGTGTCCAAAGAGTACAACCTGCGGCGTCACTACCAGACCAACCATAGCAAGCACTACGACCAGTACACCGAGCAGACGAGGGACATCAAGCTTCAGGAGCTGAAGAAGGGGCTCAGGAAGTATCTTTTGGGGTCCTCAGAGATCCTGTGCCCTGAGCCAAAACAAGCGCTCCCCAACGTGAGCCCACCCGAAAACGTCGCGCAGCCCATAGAAGATGTGGCTGGCAGCTTATGGGAGAAATTGCGTGAAAAAATCAAATCCTCTGTGGCGTATTCCCTTGCAATCGATGAGATCACAGATATTAACAATATCACCCAACTGGCCATCTTCATCCGCGGGGTGGATGACAACTTCGACGTGTCAGAAGAACTTTTGGACACAGTACCCATGACGGGCACGAAGTCCGCAAACGAGGTATTTTCACGAGTAGAGAAAAGTCTTAAGAAATTCCATATCGATTGGTCCAAATTGGTCAGCGTGGCCTCCACGGGCACCCCGGCCATGGTCGACGCCAATAATGGCGTGGTGACGAAGCTGAAATCGAAAGTGGCAACATTTTGCAAAGGCTCCGATCTCAAATCCATTTGCTGCATTATCCACCCCGAGGCCCTGTGCGCCCAGAAGCTGAAGCTGGATCACGTGATGGACGTGGTCGTGAACTCAGTGAACTGGATATGCTCCCGCGGCCTGAACCACGGCGAGTTCACAACCCTCCTCTACGAGCTGGACAGCCAGTACGGCAGCCTTCTGTACCACACGGGGATCAAGTGGCTGAGTCGGGGGCTGGTGCTCCAGAGGTTCTTTGAATCCTTGGAAGAAATTGACACGTTCATGTCATCCCGAGGAAAACCCGTGCCTCAACTGAGCTCTAAGGACTGGGTCATGGACTTGGCCTTCCTGGTTGACATGACGACACATCTGAACACTCTGACCATCTCCCTGCAAGGACACTCCCAAATCGTGACCCAGATGTACGACCTGATCCGAGCCTTCCTGGCCAAACTGTGTCTTTGGGAAGCGCACTTGGCCAGGAATAACCTGGCCCACTTTCCCACGCTGAAATCTGTGTCCCAAAACGAAAGCGATGGCCTGAATTACATCCCCAAGATCGTGGAACTGAAGGCCGAGTTCCAGAAACGCCTCTCGGATTTCAAAGTCTATGAGAGCGAGCTCTCTCTGTTCAGTTCACCTTTCTCCACCAAGATCGACTGTGTACACGAAGAGCTTCAGATGGAGGTGATTGACCTGCAGTGTAACACGGTGCTCAAAACCAAGTACGACAAGGTGGGCATACCCGAATTCTACAAATACCTGTGGAGTAGCTACCCCAAGTACAGGACCCACTGCGCAAGAATCCTGTCCATGTTCGGAAGCACCTACGTCTGCGAACAGCTCTTTTCCATCATGAAGCTGAGCAAGGCAAAATACAGTGCCCAGGTCAAAGACGCGCCGTGGGGCACCCCGCTCCACGTGGTCACGTCCTGAAGCGGAACCCCACGCCCTGCCCCAGGGGAAGCCAACCTAGGATCCTCTAGGCCCAGGGGATTGTGAGACGAGAAAGTGAAAGATTAAATATTTCCGTTTCTCTGAGGTCTTTTTCTACTTGGAATCAGAAATGGATTTGTAATATCACAAAATCAGAACTGTTTGTATGACGTGTTCTGCTTCACTGTAGTTCAGTAAAAACCAGGAAAGTTCTGTGTTTTTTTCTTTTTTTGTGGTACTTGGGCTTGAACTCAGGGCCTACACCTTGAACCACTCCACCAGCCCTTTTTTGTGTTGGGTATTTTCAAAATAGGGTCTCAAGAACTGTTTTCCTGGGCTGGCCTCAACATTGATCCTCCTGATCTCTGCCTCCCGAGTAGCTGGGCTTGGAGGCGGGAGCCACTGGCTAGGAAAAGCCTTTGATTAAAGGGAGGCCCAGGAGCCAGCGATCAAACCCCAGGTTGCTGCTACCTGCACAAGGTGTTCAGCCCCAGCCAGAACGAGTTCATGTCCTCAGACACTGGAAAATGGCCCAATTCAGGCATTTCTTGACTTTGAGATATTGGCTCGTGGCGCAACTGGCTTACCTCCTGAGACAGAATCTAGGATGAACTGGTTTGTGATAGGAATCAGCGGGAGAACCAGCTCATGGTGTCCGTGAATTTAGGCTGACACTATGTATCAGAGGTGTGGTTCCCACAGGAAAAGATAACACCCTCACTCATAGACAGGTAGCGTAGGCATAGAGTGGGTGTGTGGCTTGCCTGAGGTCACACAGCAATTACAGGAGTTGTCAGAATTCAAGCCTGGGTCTCTGTGACTCCAAAGTCCCTGTTCTTCATTTCTGAATAGCCACTGAGCCTGACACAGAGACCCAACAGGTATTGGTCCCTGCGCTCCTCACTGACTTGTCTGTGGCTCCCTGGGGTGACTCCACTGGGTGACAGGAAAGGGATAGCAGGGCTTAGCCCAGCCAGCCTTCTGTTACTCATTCATGGAACTGTTCTCTTCTGCTTTGAATCAACTCCCAAGACTCTGTGTGTGTGTGTGTGTGTGTGTGTGTGTGATGGGTATTGAACTCAGGACCTTGAACATAACAGGCGTTCTACCCCTTGAGCCACAACCCAGCCCATCTTTTGTTTGGTTGGTTATTTTGGTTTTTGAGCTAGGATCTCACTTACTTCACCCAGATTGGCCTCAAACTCGGATCCTCCTATCTCTGCATCCGGAGAAACTACGATTATAGCCGTGAGCCACAGTGCCCAGCCCCAGTCTTTCTTTACCCTAAAGTGTACGTTGGGACCTGGATTGTTTGGGATAAGGTAACCAGTGATAAACACTGTCACCCATGTGACTGAGCCAAGACTATGGGTAACAGCTGAATGGGCTAGGTGGATTTTGGCAGTCACAGTGTTGGGATGGGGTGTCTGCCAATCAATAGAAGCGGTATGGCATGCTGCAGAAGGGTCCGGCCTGGGGGATGGGTGCTGGATGTGGTGGTCACTGTCAGGTCCAGGGAGGGACAGGCACTGCATCCCTGTCCCCCTCCCCTCCCAGGATGGTCAAAAGAAAGAGCTGGCCACTCCTGCAACACAAGCTGGGGCCTAAGGAGTTTCCGGAAGCCAGGCCCACCTCCCCCTGGACGTGCATCTGTGCCCCCCCTCCAGCCTGCTTAGCCAGGCACCCACAAGGCCTGATCCAGGGATCCTAAGCTCTGCTGCCAGTCCTGCAGCCCCTTCTTGTACTCTCACGTGTTTCCCTACAGACATTGGCTGCCTTGGGCCTCCCTAACCTCACACGCAAGGTGCTAGCGTTGGCACAAGGCACCAGAAATAGAAGGAAAAAAAAAACATTTGATCAGGACTTCTGCTTAGGCAAAAAGCAATGAAACTAAAAGTGATGAAAATAAATATTTATCTTATCCTCTCTCTGGACCACATGACATGGGACGGGACTGCGTCGGCCCCCCCTTCAGCACTCTTATGCATGGCGGTCAGAGTTGGAGCAAAGGTAATTCCTGCACATGCAGAAGGTCATCGAGGACCGGAAGTTACTCTTGCACTTGGCCTTCTGCAAACCTGTCTTTGGCCAGGGTCGGGGCAGTACGGAACCGGACCTCCCACGCAGCAGAGCTCACGGCCTCCTCTGCTCATTCTAGACATAGCCCCAGTCCCGCATCGCTGCAGAGCCTCGGTTCACTCCAAGCAAAACCTTTACTGGGGATGGCGGATAGCTAATTGGGGCGAGGGGTCGGGGCTGCCCTAGGCGTCCAGACGCCGGGCATCTACATGTATGTACAGGTATAGGAGCCGGAACGCTATCTGGGGCCTCAGACGGCGGTGGCCAGCTTCCGCTTGGTGCTCTCGCTGCAGCGGTGCAGGATGAGATCTGCGCTGGGTCGCGGGGGCACCGCAGGCTGCGGCTTGGAGCCCTGGCTCTGCGTACTCTCTGCAGGTGGACAGAAAGGGAGGTCAGAGGCCGCGCCCCCTTGCCTTGGCTCCGCCCCGCCGCCTGGACCGCCCAGCCTATCAGCGCCCTCTGGTCCTGCCTCTTCCTCTGACTCCGCCCCGCCCCCGCGCCCTCCAACCCCAGCCTGCCTAGCCCGGGTGTGCGCCTGCCCTCTGGCCCCGCCTCTGCCCTGACTCCGTCCCTAGCCCCGCCCCGTCCGACGCTCGAGCTTCGGGCTCTCGGTGCTGTGGCCCTGCTTCCCAGTTCCGCTTCAAACCTGACTCCGCC